AATCAACTTACGAATATCTGCCAAGTTTGGTGGTTAACCGATGGTAATTGATGAGTTTATAAAGAATTTAATGTACCAGCCTCGTTTTCATGTTGGCTCATATACGTCCGATTTTCAACCCTCCTTAAAACCCGTCCCAGCAAGTTGCAGAGTTGCCACCAAAACTTTTCATGTTTACTAGACCCTAATGAACACTTTTAGACTGGTGGCTTGCTTTCAGTACGAAATTCCCACGGGATTACATTTGCTCCGAGACTATTAGAGTAATATGTACACCAGCTTGCTGCACCTGAGAAGGGATTTAAAACGGTCGAAGAAAGCAGTTCGCATCAAGCTGCAACAAAGAGGTTTTGACGTAAGCAACTTGCAGCAGGCACAGCTCTCTCCAGATCAAAACTAACTTTGTCTGCCAAGGATGTGGCAGGGCTGGTCAACACACTGACTTTTCTGAAACTAAGAGCACTTCTGCATAGTCCTTCGGGACAGAGCTCTGTCAACTGCAATGCCTTCTGATGACTAATGAGGTCTAAATAATTCAGATCGGCTTTTTTTGCTATATCGGTGTCATAGTTCAAGTGCTTTACACAACTATCCTGTAGCTCGGTGGCTTGACTCCCGTCGGAGATTACCTGAATTATTACCGTTAAATGTTATCACACAGGCCAAGGGTATCAGCCTATTATTCAGCAGCCCCAGTTTGGAGCAGTTGGACCAATGAAAAAACAGAAAGAAACAAACCCAGCTAAAGGCAGTGCTATCTTCGAAAAGACAAGTAACTCTAAGGAAACGGTCACTAAGGGAAAAGCTAAAAAAGTCAACTTTCTCAGGAAGATGAAAGCTGCTGACGGACGTAAGGCAAAGGACAAAGAAAATACGAGAAAAGGAGAGGACAAGAATAACGATTTAATGCTTTCAGAGAAAATTTATAGTAAGAAAAAGAAGCTTCTAACACGTTTAAAAGAGGAGAGCGGATCAGCTGCAGTGAAATACAAAAAGACATAGAGCATCTGATTAAGGTTAGAGACTGGCGTCTGTAATGAGCTGAAGAAAACTAGCGTAAATGACAACATTCTTGCAAAATTGAGAGACTGAAATAAAGCTCATTAATACAATGTAGTTAGGAAACTGTTATTGCAGTTATCAGCGGCGTGACCCACAAACGAGGCGCAAGGGTCAATTTTACTTTGTATTGAAGCTTTCGCCTCGTTTCTACGCCTTTAAAAACAAAAGGATATTTGACCGCAATTTTACTTTTCACTTTATCGGTATCATTCAAGCGAAACGCTTGACCGTTCAGCTTTTATATTTATTGCTTCTTTATTACAGTATTTTTCTCGTTATTACCTCCTCGTTTAAATGTTCATATGTACGAGTATGATCCCGATTTAGAGAGTTTTTACATGACGTCACGGCGGCCTTGTTGGTGATCCTAACTATGAAATTTCTATCCTTTGGGAAGCGAGTTCCTTCCTGACGAAATATCATTTTGTTGTTTGGGAACAGCAAAATGACCGCCATGAAGATGACCAGGAATTGGCAGTGGTGAGAGCGCTCACCTCCCGCTAATGTGGCCCGAATTCGATTCCGGCCCGGTTCCATATGTGGGATGAGTTTGTTGTTAGTTCTCGCCTTCTCCCTCCACAAAATTCAACATCTCCAAATTCCAACTCGACCAGGATAGAGGAGGCGCATGAAAATCAGCTGAGGCTGATGTGTCTCCTCTCTAAATATTTTAATGTAGCTGAAGAGCGCCGCCTACAGCAAGTTTACGTTAAATGTTTTTGTACCTAAGGCTTTGCATCTTCTGAATTAGCAGCTTTTTGCCCGGGTTTCTAAACCATTTCTGAGAGTTTAATTGTACCTCGTCATTTTAGACACTGATCCAGTGAGAAGAAAAACTGAACGAAAAACGAAAAAGGAATGCGAATTAAGAGTTCATATTATGAATGTTCAGTTAAAACTGAGTTAACTTAGACGCCTTTATTTAAAAGTTAAAATCTAATGGTAAAAATTTCAGGGTAATCCCTTCCGGAAGCTTACAAAACACCTATGTTATCAATAGGTGCCCTGAAGCTATTACCAAACATAGATTACACAATAATAGAATATATACAAAAATAGAAACATAAATATAGGAAAGTATATTATAACAAGTACACTTTTCAACAAGAAGTTAAAAGAAAATGGAACCGTTAGTAGCATTAAAAATGCATCATACTAGTAAAGTATTAGGTGTCCGTCTTGTGAGAAGTGTCGCTCTGGAGAAGTTAAAGACAATATTAAATATTATATTCTGCACAAAGCTTAGTTTGTCGCAGACTAAGAATTATTAAATTGTAATATTATCCCAAGTATGAATCTCAACATTTCAAAACAACTAGGTTTGATTTTCACACATTGTGATTCTTGTGCGAGTTTTAAGTACAAATTGGTCTGACCCAATGTACGCATGCGTAGTTCGTGTTTAAGATTGCGAGTTTACAGATTCGCCATGCTTGTTGTTTCTTATAACCGGCAGTAAAATTTGAAAAAAGAAAATGGTTCAACTGTCGATCCTAGGCAGGCTGAAATGATCGAACATTCCAGAAAAACTTTTTTAGAAATACTTTACAACCGGCCAACTAACAGATTTTAGAAGGGCAAGTTATGACGTTCTGACCTCCCGAATATTCCGAAAAAATCCGATTTCCGAACAATCTCGAGTACTGAAAAATACTCATCGCAACAAAAAGTCAGCCATGGTATGCCGCTCATTGATAGCGCGAGTGGGATTAAAGATCACCGTTATCAGCCGTTATAGTTTTCCGAGAGAAATACCGGGCCACCGATTTTATTCATCAGGCGACAAAAAATGTTTTCTTTTAGTCAAAGCAAGTTTTAAATTATATCGAATATTAACGAATTACTGGGTAGTGAGCCCGCAATCATTGTCCATAAAAGATCGTTAATGTTTGAGAGTAGACTATTTCACTGGAAAAATTGGCGAAATATTCCACATAAAACTGCGCTTGAAAGGTCGAATTCCTAAGTTCCAGCCACATTTTAACTCATTGTGATAGGGTGAGGCTTTTCATGTGGGTGTATATGGAGTAGGTTAGCTTCATTTCATATCTTGTCGTGCAATCATGGTTTGGGCAATTTTCAACTCTGTAAATTGTCATCTGTTTTCAAAATCAAGAATTGAAAAAAAAAAAAAAAAATTTAAAAAAATGAATAAAATAATAGGTTTATCCAAAAACGACCGCCGCTCTACTTTAATAGAGAAAGTTTATCACCAGCAGGAGTCCTCTCGCTCTTTGAACTGCTGGTGGCAGTAAATTAGATGTTCGAAAGTCATTGTTTACGATAATTGACATTACAATTCCTTTTCATTACTTTCATCGCATGACCATGGCGTCACAACATAACTTCAACCTCAGGTAAGGTGTGAAAATGATATTCTACTTCGAAAAAACAACTATATCTGATGTCTACCTGTTATTGCAATCCAGATTAAAGACTTTTACGAAGGTTACCCTCGTTGCAGAACTCAAGGAAGTAATCAAATCGTGATATCCGACCTGCTTTCGATGCAATGAACTTCGACAAAACTTACTGATCCCTGAGGAATTTGCTTGTGGCCTTTTGTTCTTGTTTAATTATTTACCATTCATATGTCCCAACGGGTAGTTGCATCTTTAGTTCAGAGAGTTTCGTCTCGGTAGTGTTTTGACCACGAGAAGTTTGTTTTGGTCTCAGCCGCGCATAATTCAGGTAGGTCATTGACAACAGTATCTTTGAATTCATAAGGTGTTCGGCAAGCATGACTAATCTGGCGAGACAAATGTGCTACAAGGCTTGCGGTAAAAATTAGAGAGTTAAAACATCCTAGAAACTACGAAAGCACTATGGGTGAAGTTCCTTCTTTGGATATGATTGAAGTTATACTGTTCATTGATTTGGTTTGACGGATTTGTCACCGAAAAGAATTGCTTTTATTTATTTCATTCTGTTAAAAGTCTCATCTTGCAGTCTCTGATTTCAAAATCGGGTTTCGGCCATAGAAAGATACGGGGTATGGCTTAAGGACGTGAGAGCCTTAAAGATGGCGGGTGAGAATTAAAAGAAAAGCTAGGTTACTATATTAGTTGTTCAGCAGATGAAGTCTTCGGCGAAATTCGTTGGTGTGT